GCTGGAATTACCTGAAAAATTCACAGCATTCCTTTCGGCTTCAATTTGGATGATTTTGTGTATTGTTCTGGGATGCTTCTTTCCTTTAATTCCAACTTTTATAATGTTTCTCAATCGTCGTGTTTTCTTGTGCCTCTGCTTTTTGAGAGAGTTTTGGTTTCTTTTTTTTTGTGTGCGATTTTGGTTTGTATGCTTTGATATTTCGTTACAAAAGCTTGAACACACTTGGCTATGTAGCAAATTACCATTGCGAGCTGGGCATTTCGGTTTTTGTGTGTATGTGTGCGCGACCGCACTGCTCTGCAAAGACGGAGAAAAGGAAACACGGCGAAAAAAAAACACAGAGTCAAACACTACGATTTCCATACTTTATTATTCAAAAATAGCCGCGAGCTAGCTAATTAGAGCAATAACCAAATACACAGTCATAAACTACTGTCGATTCGGATAATATGTGCGTTTTGTATGGATGATTAAATTTAGTAGATGATGGGAAAAATAGTGAACGGCTACACGGCTACACACAGGCGACGGCAGTGTATGTTGTATAGCTGAAACGATTTTTCCTCTGGTCAGAAAAAAAACACACAGAGATAGAGACTAAGGTTAAAGTGATGCTTTATTGTGCGAACATCTCTCTCCCTCTCTCGATATTACATTTTCTCAACTTGTATCCACAAAATACGATCATCCGAAGGAAATTGTGTTTCACAAAGTTTTGATTTGGCCAATAAAGTGTGTTCCATATCAAAATAAAAAGAATTGAAGCAGTGCGGACCATTGTGCTTGGATTTGATTGGCCGCTGCCGAACGGTTATGGAACAAAATTAAGAAAAATTATAATGAATTTGCAATAGATGTTAGCCGGTCTCGATTTGTCGAATAAGAAATTGAGCATCGAAAAGAGTGCCTCGACAATTAAAAAAATAACAATGAATCGAAATCAGAGCTCAAGCGATTCATAACGGTTTCGTAGTTGGCTTCAAGTTATTTGTTGGGTCTAATTAAATTTCTGGATTTTAATTGCTCCTTTATATATGTATAGAATGTGCGAGAGAGAAAAAGAGAACATTTCGTACGATTGCTAAGTATCGATTTCCCCTTCGAGATCCGAGGAATGTGTGTGCCGTTCGCGCAACGTATTAGAAGTGGCAAACGGAAACAATGTTGCAGTTTATCAGTTTAGAAGCTCAAAAATTAACAAGTTGGTGTCAAAAGAAACCATCAAACTACGGTATTCAACGGGAGTGTGAGGAAACTGAATTGCTCCAGAGCAAACATAGGCAATTTGAATGTGATTTCCATGAACGGAAGATACAATTTGAAAGTAATAGGTTTATTGAAAGGTAAATATTTGCCGGGGAAATAGGCACAGTGTTTCATTTTAATGTGCGCGCACACAGTCCGATTGTATTGTGTGTAGGCCGTGTTCGACAGATTGCATCAACGCGAGAGAGAGAGAGAGAGAGCGAGAGCGATGTGGATGCGACGCGATGCAAACAAATTGACACGCGTGGTGTGTGTTCATTTTACGGACAGGTAGGTATTAAATTGAGTGAACTGCGGCTGAAATCATGTTTTAACATTCGTTTACAATCGAAACCACAAACAAACCAAATGCACTTTTCAGCATTGAACAGAAGCTGACGGAGTCGTATTGTTGTCGCTGGTTATAAGGTGTACGTTGCGCATTTTGTGTGGTATTTCACTTGTAATGTTTAATTATCGTTACAAAGCGGTGACATATCTCAAATATGCCAGAGATATTTTCCAATCGAATCGAATCGCTGGTTATTTGGTCTGCTTCGATTGCTTTTTGCTTGATACGCTCACGAAAAATACATGTAATTCCGAGAATTTTCCCTTTACGATAATCATCACAGGTGGTGATAGTCTTCGGTTTTGCGTTGCACGATCTGATTCCGGTACACATCCGATTGTTCAACGGCGAATGGTAACGGGAAATCATAAGTCATCCAATTAGCATTCAAAATGATGCTTAGGTGTTAAATCCATCGCTACTGTTATCACAATGGTGAACATTTATTACGTTGGCATTGTGATCATTCAAACCCACGCAGCGAGTTGTGTTGCGATTTCTGTGACGTCGATAAAAATTGGCATGTTCATAACTGAACCTAGCACATGCTCGTTGTAATAAAACTCAACAATGATGGCACATAAAGTCTGACTGTGAATCGTGAAACACGTTTTCGACTTCGAATAGGAAAAAAAACACCACCTAGCCACACAAATGCCACACTTTGCTTTTAATGGCTTGAAACTAGAAAAGAGAATCGAATTAGTCGTTTTACAATTGAAGGTCATGGGCAATAATTTCTGTTCACGTTGAAAATCCAATCAAATGAAATGTGCTAAAGTTCTGTTTTATCTAAATCGCAAATGTCGTCGCTTATCAACGAAAATGTGGAAACAAGTTTATTCTTCATGGCATTGCACATATATTTAAAACAATTCGAAGAAATAGCGTCGAAACAGACATAGATATTAATCATTGAAAGTGTCCATACAAAAGCAAACTATTTTTATTTCCAACGTCGACCACAACGACAGACTAGTCACACTCGAACAACAACAACAACAACCACACATAGACACGTTTTTTTTTGCTATTTGAGAAATATGTATCTTTCTCCCAATAATCGTACAGGTGCGCACTTAATGCGACTTCTTTTCAACCAATCATGTCGTTATAGTATACGCCCATCGTTTTATGTGTACAATCTGCGGATTTATATTTTGTTCAGTTGCTTTTTTTCCCCTACGTATTCGTATTCGTTGTGCGATCGGTGTTCGTAACGCGTTCAGCGATCGTTGCTCAGCGAATCCGAGTGTAGAAATATATCGTCGTCGTTTTTCAATGTGTCGGTCTGTTTCTCTCTTCGTTCGGCTTCGGAATGCGTGCGAACGTTACGATATAGACTTGATTTCTGATACAGAGAGACAAAACATACAGACGAATCGAACGCAAAGAGAAAAAAAAGGAAAAAAAAAACAAAGAATGAAAACGTCATCAAAACACGATACAAACAAACAAAACGGGCGATATGTGATGACAACGATACGATCAAAATGTGTACATTGGATTAGAATTGACAGCATCAATGCGAGTGTGTCGGTCGCCACACACACTGATGCAAACAAAACAAAAGGCCGATCTAAACGGGCTATTCGAGTGCGTTTCTGTGAACCTCTTAGCCATGGCCAACTGCGCTAACGTTTATTCTTTTCTTTTACTATTTTCGGAAATCCGGCACACCGACAGTTGATTCATTCAAAACGCCGAGATGAAATGAAAATGGGAATTGGGAAAAAAGAGATTTGTGTGCACATTCACACAGCATTGAACGTTATCGAAAACCACAAGAATGAAGAAATTAAAGGAGCTAAAGGGTTCACATATGAGAACAGAGAAAAAAGTCAAGAGGCACGATTTTATAACAATTTTTGTTGCTGTCTTCCATTATTCCACTCACATTGCTACTGTTTTTTTCTGTCCGCCAGCCATTCACTTAAGTCTCTCTGGCTCACTAACAGCTCGGCATATCTCTGTGTGTTTTTTTTTCTTCCTTTACTCTCTCTCGACTTGAGTCACACTTTGATCAAAAAAAATCTTACGGTATGTATATTTTATAAGCGCTCGCGCACACACACACACACACACACTCATAACACCCGACGAAGAATACCAGGCAACGAATAAAATTTATGCATTTATAATTTGATTTTAATCCGGCTCTTTTGGCCGTATTCACGCGCGCGCGCACACATCTTTTTTCCACCCATAAAAAGTATGCTGGTAGTGTTTTTATTTTTCGTTTTACGAAAAACATTCGCAAAAAACACAGCCCGAAACAAGCAAGCAAGAGCAGCAGCGAGACGAGGTATAAATACGGCTAAATAATAATATCAACAACACGTGGTAGAATGTAACAATTGATTCGTCGTCGTTGTCATTCTTGATGACAACACAACAATCTTCTTTGGCCCGAATAACTTAACTCGAATGCCTTCTTTTTTTCATTTTTTTCTGTTTGCTAAATGCATGGCATGAGACAAGATAAGCGCCATGATGCAATGTCGTGTCGGTTTATGTTGTGTGTTTTGTGTTCTTTTGCGTTTGAATTTGCATACCGATTTGAAATGTTGTCACACAATATTCAACATGAATAATTAAGCTCGTTGGGAAGGAAAAAATCAACATTTTTTTTCCCTTGCAACGTTTACTTCGCGGTAGCATCAGCGGCGAAAAAAAACGACTTACGAAAATTGACGAAAATATCAAAAAACCCATCGTTGCGATTGCATTTAATCAATTTTCGATTCTAAATTAATTCCACTGGGATTGTGATGTGACGTAATGTTGAATGCGTGAGATTCGGTAATGTTTAAAGTTTATTCGTGCGGTTTTGTTTTTCGCGGTTCGATTTGTTTATTTCGGTGATCACAAGCCGCATACAAACAATGTCATGTTCAAATCGAGCCATTCTTCAATTACAAACAGCATTCATTTCCAATCCGTCACCGACGACAACGACGATTTACACGGTGAACGGATCAACGGCAATACAACAACAACAATTTCAACACTCACCTGGGTATTAGATATCCATATCATATGTGTCGGTGTTTAAACTGCGCTTACAAAATCAGCTCGCCGTGCTGTTACTACTGCTATTGCTGCTGCACACAGTCATCGATCGAACACAGAACAAATGCGATCGCACTCAATGAGTGTATGAGCACGCACATGGCATACATGTATTGCACCGAGCAGGAACGAGAACGAATACCAAAGCACAACAACTCAAACAGAAACGAAATATATATGGAATGAACAGAAGAAAAAAATAAGATGCAAAGAAACTTATATCTCTCACTCTGTGTAATAAACAATGTGAATAAAAAGAAAAGCAAAATCGTTCGCCTGTGCCGTCTAAAGAGCGCTTCACCAAGTGTTTGGTACAATGTTATGATTCAGTATTCGTTTAGACCGCGACGCGATTAACCACTTTTTTTTACGAACGACAGGGCCGAGCACATTACATTCTACCTGCCTAACCCGACTCGAATGAGATACGTTTTCGTCGTCCCTGCGCAAGCACATTTTTTGACTTTTCGATTTAAACAAAGTTTTCTTGTTCGTTGGAGATTTGTTTTTAATTTATTCTGCAATTTTGTGTGTTGAACTAAAAGCTATGACATTTAAAGACTTTTACTGAATTTGGTGTTTGAAAAAGGATAATTGAGCGAAGTACGTTTTCACAAATTAATACGATTTTTCGATTCGATTTTTAAGATTTTAGCAGTTTTTGTTCGATAATTGCGACAAAATTGAAAAAAAAAATCAATGTTTGTTTGAAAGTTATGATCTAAAAGGCATAGCTGTCAATAACAACTTAATGATAATAATTGAAAATAAAATCCATATCGCACTTGATTCAGTGATTGCCCGAAGAATTCATTCGAATGTTAAGTTGTCGAGCATTGAAACCGTGCGCTCGTCTAATAACCACTTTGATACGTTCAAAAAGCGATTGTTGTTGACATAAATTGCAGCCGCTTACAGTTTATGAATCGAATGCAAGCGCGAACGTAGTGCCAAGCCAGCGGCAATGTAAAAAACGACATTTTCAATTCACCTCCCGCATAGATAAATATTTGGTTTGAATGTTCTTTTTTGCCATTCGCAAACGGCAAGAACACAAATACGATTCAATTGAGTGAACGAATACGCAAAATCGATTGTGCTCAATGGATTTATGTGAAGTGTGCGAAAAGCGAAACGAAACAAAAAAACTGTATATATCTGGAACATTTGCGCTGCAAAAATTATCGCAAAATAAATAAAAAAATATAGAGACATTAAAATTTTCTGAAAGCCAAAGAACAAAAGCAATCAGCATTTGCCAGTGCCAATTCATGGGAAGGACAGAACGAAATACAATAATATCGCTCTTGTTGTTGTTGTTGTTGTTGTTGTTTTTCGTTCTTAATCGTTCACATTTTGTACATGGTTTATTGTTTCAAATTTACAATATTCAATTGATTACTATTATTACTGTGGCTCGTATGAATATTTGAGTTGCTGCCTCGCTTTGAATATTTCTTTCTCTTTTTTTCGGTCGATATTTTATTGTTTTTACAGCAATTTTTCGCTGTATCGTCTCAAATGCACATAATGTTCGTTCGAATAGTAGAATATGGCCAAAAGGATACCTCAATGACAATGTGTTTTTTCCCATTGATTGCGATTTTTTGATACGCCGTTCATAGTTTTACTTCAGGAGCTGAATGGTGCTGTAATAAAATAAAATATATCGCTGAGATTTCGCAACGGTGCACATGCAAAAATATTTGTCCGATATTAACATTGAACCTTCGGTCACAATCTTCTGCAGATAAGTTGTGTTGATGCGACCAAACATTGTCTTCTTGCTCTTTGAGATCGCGTACCATTTTTTTTCGTCTCATCTCTATGGATTTTGTGTCTTTTAAAATGATTTTTTTTTTCCTTTTATTTTTCATTTCGAAAGTAACGATTTTCTCTCTTCACTTACAATGGAATCTGTTATTACCTGGAAGAAGAAGGGAACAAAAATGATGGTACAAGTCGCACAAGTTTCGCTGGGCTTTTCACCTTCGTTGCAAGCGACAAATGCAACAACGAAAGAAATCCATGTCGCACATACCATTGGTATTTTGAATGCGTGTTGTTAGCGTCCAATGGAATTCGGTTCAATAAATTCATAAGCATGGCCCATTGTTTTATATATGTAAAATATAATCTCAGATTGTTACACTGGACATTGGGCAATATGCACTCGTTGGATGCGATTTTTTTTCTTGCTCCTTCTCTCTCTCTGGTGCGCGCGCACTTTTTTGTCGTCCAATACGTGCAATTGTTGAAAAAGTGCATGAAAAATGATTATGTGAGCAGACGGTTAGAGAGATATATGTAGGTTACATATGTGCCACAATCCAACTTCATTCCACCGTATTGATTCAAGTGCAGCATTCGAGAGAGAAAAACAGATCGCAAAAATACTGAAATTTATGATTTGTTGTGGTTTTTTTCACTCTCTTTCTCTCCCTCTTCATGTCGTCGCTTTCTTGCCAGATTTTCTTTTTATTATGTATTGTATTAAATGAAACAAGCGACAGAATTATATCGAATTGGTAACATCTCTTTTTTGTCATATCTTTTGTATGAATTTTATTGTTGTGGTTCAATTCATGAGCTCGGAACAATGATCAGTCCCACAAGATTCACTCCAGTTTTTTTCTCTTCACTTCATTTGATTTCACTTTATCAATAAATAAAAAAAAAGACTCGCTACCAACGAACACAAGTCAAAGGGAATTTTCCTAGCTATTGAACAACAAAAAAAGAGAGAAAGTTTAGCGAAACTTCGCAGAAGAAGAAAAAAACACAACTGAATGTAAAGACAAAAAAATATGCAACCAGCGGGTGGTTTTCAGAAGTAAAATTGTGACCACAGACACAATATCCAGCGATGAAAAAAACAGACCCGTCTAGTAGTGAATTGTGAAAATTGAATGCAAGTACTGTCTCAGCCAGTATGAAGTGTGTGAATCGAATAAAAGATTCCGTGTATCGCTTTTAGACGACGAACCCTCACACAGGCGCCAACATTATAAAACAATGCCATCGCGTTATTATTCTGCGACCGTCCGGTCGATGCCCATTTTAGCTCTAAAAATTTCTTGAAAACTCGACAACATATTTCTACAGCCGTTTTTCTTTTTCGTTACAGGAATAAAAAAAAATTGAAGCGCCGACGGAAAATAGTGAGCAGCTTAAACCTTGAAGCCACGAATGAACTCGATACCTGAAGAAAATTCAGTCAAAATGTTATGCTAAAAATAGAGAAAAAAAAGGAAAATAAGGTGCTAAAAACAGTGAACAATTGAAGAAAAAAAAGAGACAAAAATCAAAGAAACCAGAATTATGAGTTGATAGTGATAAAAGTGCTTAAACTTAGTGTTGTTCTTGAATCGAAACGCCAGAAAAAAGGGAATATTTTCTATAAAGTTTGTATTAAATGCTTATTTGGTGCATATGTTCGGGAAACTGAATCAGTGTGACGGTGTTTCATTTGAACCAAGCAAAATGTTTACGCGGTAAGTTTTCTCACGCTAAGCAAAAGTCGAGTCGCTGTTAAGCGAACGTTTGAAAGATTGGCAGAATGTTGAGATTCAACCGATTATTGTTGAGAACGCCTAGATTGATTCAATAAATGATTGGCCTGATTTAATGTAAACGATTGCCATCGATTGATTTCCTCTTCAAAGTCGAAGTGAAACGATTGTATGTGGCAAGTGTTGACATCAACTTGACTCTATTATCGCTTTGATTGATTCATTTGTTCGGTTCATCGCTATCAAAATAAAACATGCGCGGTGCACGGACCACCACGGCAGAACGGTTGATGTGTATAATTGTGTTTGTTCTTAAGTTCTTTCAATTTCCGTCTAGATATTTTGTTGTTGATAAATACGGTCATATCGACGACGAGAGGTAAACATTTCCGTATGGTGTTGATCGCGATTATAATAGACGCCTGATTGAGTGAAATACGAAACTCGTTATGCATTTGAAATGTACGGTTGCAGTGAAATGGTTACTATTCGCTTCGGCAACCACTGTCAACTGTCACACCAACTGATGGACCCATAAAATTCAATCAATCTTATTCCGTCCGTATACTTCAAATCGATATCGTCTCCCGTTTTTATTTTGTGTCACATAAAGATACTCATTTGAATATCATTCGATCAAATCGAGAAGAATTGGAACAGAATACCCTAAGACGCTTTCGCATTTGCATATATGAACAAACGACGAAAAAGAAAATACACCAATAAATGTGGCAACCTTTGTGTTCAGAGGGATTTTTTTTGATTCACATGTGCTCATAAATATCGAGCTGATCGAGTGTGCCGAGTTTTTCATTCGAGATCGCTTCGTTTCGTTTGCATTTCATGATGTGACACTGTGATCGATTGTTGCCGCGGTGATGGCTGTCAATGTGCCGACGAAAACCATTTCTCTATCTAAACAAAGCACAAACTCCTGTTGGCTGATCGGTCATCCGGCCGCACAAATATTTCACTCAAACTTGCCACTGTGAGAGAGAAAAGATATTGCACAATCATTTTTTATTCAGGAAATTTACTGATTTATTCAAAACATTTGCATTTGAATGTTTTTTTTCTTCATTTTTCTACGACTTGGAATGGATTATCATTTTTTCTAGCCTGAATGAATGTCAAATTTTGCTTATCTTTATTGAAATATGTGTTTAAAACACATAGCCGCACACTCGATTTGCTCTGCTATTGCAATTTCACCACAACGATTGACGTATTACGCGACGATATCAACATTTCCATCTGTTTGAAGTAAGATTTGAATTAGATTCCAGTTGTTTTTTTCCTTTCACACACATCTCATTCCTTCATACGGACACTTCAATCGGTGCCGCTCCTCAAATGGCAAAGAAAAAGTTGACAAGTATCCCGAGTATGTTTTCTTCATTCGAAATCAGTTTTTTTTTCAGTGAACTGTATTTTTCCCTGTAGAGTGTAACATTAACGCCGGTAGCCACAGAATTGCTAAAGCTTTGATTACGCTGCACTGAATACTTGTCATACGTCAACAACCAGAAGCGCGAGCATATTTATTCCGACCGACCAAAGAAATGACTCGAACAAATAACAGCGGAAGAAATTAAAGGGAAAAAATGTAAATTTTCATTTAGTTATGCTTCGTTATTTGAAGTTGTCACCTGTAGTGGACACAAGTTGGAAGCCCGAAAAAAATGAATTTCTTCAAAAATTTAGCGAAAGACACGACGATAATTTATTCTGTATTTATATCTGTAATTAGAACGCCCTCTCCGTTATTGTTGACACCTAGAGAAAACACATACACGCCATAAATTGTAACAGAAGGGGAATAAAATGCGTCAACGAATCCACGTTACGGAAAATGCTAAATAAATATCGTAAAATTTAAATTTAAATCAACAATGTAACTTTTTAATATTTGCTTAACGGCTTGACGCCAGAATATCAACACAACGTCGATTTGCTGACTGACATTTTGTGCATATGATTAACTCGTTTGTCGTTGAGCAAACTTGCGTCGGGAATATCTGTGGCTTGTGTGTTAAATCGCTCTCGGATTTTGTTCTCGATGTAAATTGAGCGTGCAAATTGCAAACATAGCAGCGGTGTTCGCGCGCGTAATGGAGCAGGCTGGAAAAAAAATGAGCGCACCAATTTTTCATTTCTCATTTAATTTCGACGTTGTGACGATTCGCGAGTCAAAACATGTCACAGCTACTGTTTGCCAGATTCAGTAAATATTGACACATGAATTGTATGAATGAGCTGACGAGCGATTTTGCAGCGTTATTGATGCGATTCATTTGAAATGCTAAGCATGGCAGAAAAAAAAACAACAACAACGATCACTTCTGATTGAATTGACATCGATCAACGTTTTCGCAACAGAAAATCCACAACAAGTGATTTGACTTTTCACATCGATTCTTCACATGAAAAAAAAAACAATTTGCGCAAAGTTTTCTAAGTTCGAATTAATGATGAGTTTGATCAGTGCGATATGTGAGATGGAAATATTTAGATAGAAATCAGGAAATGTTATTTAACATATATAGCTGTATCGACGGTGTGTTTGACAATGAGCGAGGTGACTGATTTTAATGAGCTCAAATTCAGCCGAAGAATTCTTTTTAATTCGTTTTTTTTTTAATTTTCTGCTCTCCATTCAATTTCTGTGAATCGGCTTTTGTTTGCTAATAAACAAGCGCGTTGTGAGCCGCGTCCATAGTCTGTATGATCAAACTTGAGCCATATGCTTGTTTTTGTTCCTTTTTAGCGCCCCGGTGCTAATTGAATATGAGCAATAATGTGCGATGTATTTGGAAAGGTTTGGTCGAGAACACACACAAAAAAAACCATCGACGGAAGAATGGAAATGAAGTACAATCGTATAACGATCGAGCGGATCGCAATCAGTCGTATAAAGTGGCCAACATTTATTTAGTTCCTCTCTGTCAAATGCAACACACACAATAACAATATAATTTCAAGCATTTTAAAATGCACAGCTTCAAAAAGGAAACAAAACCGACAAAAAAGAATTGCTTGATTAAATAATAGTAATTTGGAAAATCAACAAAACCACCGAAATGGACGTGTATACAAAAAACATGTATGTTTTTTAACGCTTGAGCTGAACAAATGAAATCAGAAGCAGAAAAAAAACACATCAAGTTCACTTGCCTCGGGGAAATGCATTTTTGATGATGCACGAATCGTACGGTTGAATTTGAAATGTGATGTGATCACCAAGACGTTGTTGACTTCAGCTGCGATTCCAGCAGACGAAGCGAAAATGATTTTCATTTGTTTATTTTGTAATTTTAATGTTTTGTATTGAGAATAATTTGAGCCATTGAAATTGATTGCGAAGACAATATACCACTTTACGTTCGATAAATGTCTAATTGTGGCTGGCATTCATCGTTTTTTTTCCTTCATATCAATAAAAGGACATTTGACTCGAATTTCTATATTTGAGATCGCGTTCACAATTAATTGGATGAATTCCCATTCAATTGTTCTGCGCACTGATTGTTCTGAAATTGGAATTATAGCGCCTGTAATTTGAGCAAAATGATGCAATCATCGAATGCGAATTGTCTTTTGGCTCGAAAATTCGATCTGCTACCCGCGTATCTGTGAAACAACAACACTGTTTTCAAATTGAATGAAGCTAGCAGAAAAAAAATGTGAGATAAAATAACACGATAGATGCGCTTGCAATCAAATACCAGCAACGATCAAAAAAGGTCCTCATTTAAGCAATTAAATAAAAAAAAAGAAGCAATGGTCCATTTGAAGAGCGCTCTACGCATCGCACAGTTCATTTATAAATATGCACCAAGAAATGTGTACCCTTTGGTTCTGCTGTGTTCGATCGAACTTGTAATGCGATCATGTTACATGGCTACTGTTTTTCTCCTGAAACATTGTCGCGTCTGTGCGCGTGCGCGTGCGCTTGTCTTATCCATTTACCGAGAAACGATCCCGTGGCTGCTGTACATTTCATAAATCGATGCGTGCGTGCGCTTGCGAGCATTTGTCCACACATACACACATCGCAGTCTCTTCTAATTTCAAATAATGCAACAACACCTGGTAGCCCCGTGAATTGTGTTTGCCTTTATCGTTTAGCCAGCAAACGATTTATTAAATGGTTGTTGCGACCGAGAAGCAGCAGCAGAAACCGAGAAACAGATACGAAAACGGTGAGATATACGTTTATCGTTTGTGTCTTGTGCATCTCGCTGTGGCTGCAATTCGAAACGCATAACATCCTATTGTTCTGATGCCGATGTGGATGATTTTCGAGCGAAAAACCCATTCGCTAGGTGTTCTCCCGAGAGTGTGCGTTTTATTTTTTCAAACGCCTACGTAGAAAATTCGTCTCTTGAGATTGAGCGCAATCGATGTGCAAAGCAGCGCAGCGAACCAAACGCACATTGTCACATCGCGATCCTAATATTACCAAGAATCTACACCATCATCACGCGATACCGATACACATTCGAAACCAAAAAAAAAACGAACGGAAAATTGTATGCAATTTAAATGTTGTTGCTTATTTTTTTCTTCGCTTTTATTATCGCAACATTTGAATTTAACAATGGCACAACCATAAAGACCTGAAATGCTCCGAGATTTTTCTTGCCTTTTGTGTGTGTGGAAGAGAGAGCGAGTGCGAGTGCGAGTGCGAGCGCTTCATTCAATATCATTTATTTGGAAGTTGAACCACACAATTATGCATACAGAATTTAAACATATGGTTGTAATTGGAACAATATTGTTCGCTGGAATTCGATGGTGAAGAACAAAGACACAAACGATTAATTATTTCTGTCTTTCGTCTTTGTCTACACCGTACCGAGGATGGTGTGTGGTTTACATTTTTTTTTCTCCAAATGGTTGTTGCATTCATGTGTGTGGCTTTCGAACACACATCATACACTCACCTAAAACATACTGTGGGAAAATTCTGTACCGATCGCATTTCAAATGCGATCTATTTTGCGTCATTCACCTTTTGCCGTGTAAAAATCACTTATTTTCCGTTTTGTTATTCTTCTAAAACAATGACAAATCTGTTTCTTGTTAATGAATGCTGTTGCAATCACCGATTGTAATCGCGTACATTTGGGTTTCATTGAATCTTCTAACGGCACACATCATTAATAATACCAATGAAGTGCTCTGAATAGAGCGCTCATTCATCTATTCAATGTGACAAATACGTCGGTGTGAGAAAATCCACTCGTTCTCTCGCCCTTTCTTGCTCTTTCCCGTTCTTTTCGCTCTCTATCGCTCTCAAATGTAAATAAAATCACATGTTATCGAGAGTCGGTGAACCGTTCAAAGGAAGAAATGACCTCCGATTAATTTCCAAAGAAAACCTAATTGAAATGTAAGCCATAAATGACAGAAATGATTGCTTGAAATCAATTAAAAAATACGACAAAGTGTTAAAAGGTGTTCAAAATATAATCAAGTCCAATTTGCAAAAATTGATTAAGTTGTTGCCGACAGACACCACAAGTGGTAGAATTCAATTCAAATGTTCGACTAATTAAAAGGCACTACAGCCAATTTGAAATGCCTCAAGTAAGATAAGGCATGGATTTCGAAAGAGAAGTCGAAAATTATGATGTCAACAAGTGCAAGAATGTCATTTTATCCATAGCTCAATCAGAGAATTTATGGTAATTTTCTTCGATAGCAAAAAAGCAACACTCTAGCGCAAAAAATGCCGCCATAGGTTTTTTTTTCTCCCTACTATTCAATCATGTTGCGGCGCACGCACAGCGCACACACACAAGCCAAAATCCAAGTTATTAAAAATTTACTGGTTAATCGTTTAATAGATGGTTTGGTGGTCTCGTGCGCATTTTGTAACACGCATAACTGTTGTACGCGAAGTAAGCGTTTAATAGACACCTTTACCGCTCTAAACGACGCGCTTTTTTCTCTTTCGATCCCACTCTCTCCCTCTCTCTCTTTCCAAATGCTCGAATCGGTAGATGCCGAAAGAAAAGGCATACGTTAACAGAAAAATTATGGTGTTCGGCAAAGAGCTCCGACACTCAATAAACTTTGAATGTACTTAATAGAAGAGATAATTATATGGATAAATTCTATTGGTGCTTGCTTGGGCCCGGTGAAGTTGTTTGCCGAAGTCAACGAGCGGCATAACCGATAGATGTGTTGTGAGGATACACACGAAGAAAGTGCTCAAAAGCGCGCGCGCGAGCGCTCGTTTTTATATTACGCACTCGAGCACAAGTCAAGCCAAGCCGCACGTTGTGTCTAATGAATATTAATTCGCTTGTTTTAATTTTTTTTCTGTGTACCGTTTCACGCATAATTTTCCCGATAATAAATGATCTTTTTTCAGTTCAACGAATCGTTCCTCAATTTCTTCGCCTAATGATTCCGACTTGACTCCGTCGAAGAAAATATTGAATAGATTAATAAAATTGTTCAGGCACCCTTTCCAAATTGCGACGCAATTGCTATTCGGCACGTGCGTGCACGATATTTCCAAGTTTGTTTCCAACGGAGCAATTCATGTGCGTTAGATTAAAGTATCGATTGAAATTTGGGTGCGATTACACAATTGAAATGGATGAGTTATGCGCTTTGAATTTTGATCATCGATTTTATAATAGTTGCCTGTGAATTATGTGTTTATTATTTAAATAGTGATCGAGATCAAACACTGATTTAAATTGTTCAGTCGTCATACCTGAGGTTATCTCCTGTATATTAATGAGTTTCCGAGGATTTGTTTCCTTCCAGCGGTTGTCTATTGATCCTAATCAACTTCTATAGTTCCGTGCGGAAAACGGAAACCATTTAGCCGAACAGGATTTAATTGGAATCGAGTGGCGCACCCTTTGAGCCAATGTGTCGCAGATTGTTTGATATTGAACGAAAACGGTTTTTTTTGACGACAGTTACCTCATCATACTAAAGGTGACAGTTACCTAGTCGTAGTAATGGCGACAGTTACATCGTCACAGTAAAGGCAACAGTTGTCTTTTCCACGAAAACACCAGGAAATGCCTGATTGAATATTAAACTCCGCTTATCATTTTTCTGATGAATTTGGCCTTTAATATCATCATCAGATTTCATCACATTGAAGCGGTCGCTGAAGATTCCGTGGCATTGATAACGCGTTGAGTGGGGGGAAATGCCCGATAATGGCGTAAAAATTGCAATAATAATTGAAGAATTATTACATGATTACATTTTATCGTCATCACTATATGGAAAAGATACAGAAACCATTCTTCTCACAGGCAACAAACGCAGCGTAGTTCTGTACAGACTTAATCTTGCTGCTCCAAGCTATAAAACAATAATGGAATTTGATTGCGAAAATTGTAGTATGCATGTTCATAAAAAAAAACGTTGCAAGTGGCAGTTGGCACGTTAACAAAAATACATGAATTTTGAATCGAACGAATCAATTCGATAGAATGCCTGTCGAAGAACAACAACAATGACGTGCATACAACGCGTCTCGTTTACTATGTTGCAATTCGTTTGCCTGCGCATTAATTCTGCGTTAGAATGTGTGTGCGCGCGAAAGCAGAAAAAAAACAACAGCAACGAAGAAAAATTTGACAATGAATTGTATAAAATGATTGGCACATTGTTGAAAAGTTGCGAGAAGAGAGCGAGAAAAAAATGCGGACTATTGCGCATGCAATCAGATGCTAAGCGAAAAATGTAAATTACAGGCAAGGTGAAACAAAGCCGTCAATTGCATGGCATTATCGGTATTGAACCTGGAAAACACAACGAGCGCGCATCACACACTATACGACAAAGATGTTGAATGCCTAAATTGATGACTGACACGACACACACATACACACACACAAAACAGATATACATTCCGATGAAAGAGAAGAGCGGCCCCATAGAAATACTATATCGAACGAAATTCATGGCCATTCGCATACACACACACATGACTTGTTTATAACTGTTCAATGCGACGCAATTGATTGTTGCTGCTTATTTTTTTCCTTCCAATACTTTTTGTGCCTTGTTGCACTTGTGTCCGTAAGCACATCTTGTTGTGTCTTCCGTCTTTCTGCATCCTGTGCAAAATCGTTCATTTCAGACAAACCGACCGCAATTCTGCGGTGCCCGAACGAACGAAGCTGAGTGAATACGTTTGCATTCCATCTTTCATTCAATTATAGTATCATCAAGTTAATAACCATGGCTGGACAATATGGTGATGATGTTGATGAGAATGGCATCGAACCAACAACGATTGAGATGCATGTGAACTGACAGCCGTGTGTAGTGCATGCGCATTCAAATTGAGCTGCAAAAGAATGATAAGTGGTAGAATGAGTGTGGTTCTCATAAAATACCGAGTGGATGCAATGAGGCGAATAGATAAAACGGAAGAGAAATGAACAGAGAATTTAACCATTGTAAAGGAGCTCATTCTTTTTTGGGGATTGTGTGAGTGATTTAGTGGCAAATGAGATACCATTGAACTTTATCGTGATTGCGATGACATTTTCACCGCTGGATCTCTGGCTGGCATTCATCGGCCGGACAACGTGTTGAAAACACTGTCACATAAAATATGCGCGATTCAACGTACGCTCGCGCGCGCCGTGCAATTTATGAGTTGTCTATTTTTCGATTTAAATCAGTCGACGCTGAAAGAGAGAGAGAGAGAGAGAGAGAGAGAGAGAGAGAGAAGGCATCAAACTCACCACGGATCAAATAAAATTCTCAGAGCGATATATTTCGATGTAGAATGATTCTCATTTGTTTGCCGGTTGCGTTGCCTCGAGTCCAAACCAATCATTTTGATCTTGATGCAGTGTGAATTGGGGCGCGATAAAAGTGTAAACAAAACTAATAAAATAATTTATGTTAAAATGCCATCGCTTATGATATGTGATGAGATACACAATTTGCGTGTAAAAATGGAAAATGGAATTGAAATGGAACTTGTTTATCCGTGGGCCGCATTCGTATGCTCTGCACTGTGCCGAGATTGTTGAATGCTTGACCTGTTTTGTTCTGACTACACTGCCCTCTTCAATCCTTCCACAACAATTCATTTAGCGATCTTTCGTCATTTTAACACTTTTTCCCTGGCGCGCGCACATCGTACTCACATCTCGTCAACGTGAATTGTATCAAGCAATAGCTGTATTTATATTAACTCACTCAGCAGGTTATCATGGTGAAAAAAGACGAAGAAGAGGTAACGCGTCTCCGTATCATTTGGACGACTGAACATTTTACATATGAAGACAGATTGCTTGATTAGTTTCTTGCTTTTTGTTATCCAGTTGTTGTTTTTTTCGGCTGCGTGGATGCTCTCCACTCTGTGGCTTTTCATCATTCGTGCATCAGAGTTATGATCTGGTGCAACAGTGGAAAACGACGAAAAAAAGTTCATCTCATGCAGCGCACGATGCAAACACTTATGCTTATATTTGACATGATTATTTCGCACATTTAACTGGTTTTTGGCTCTCTTTTTTTTCTCATTCGTTCATTCGTTGCCATGCGGTGTGCATTACTTTTCAATGCTTCGGCATTGCGCATTTTGACATTTCGATTGTGCGATCGAGATTGCATTTTGAACTTGCACTCGTGTTAACACATGTTATGATTTATCAACGGTTCATCGCGGTATCAAATACTGTTTTTTCTCTGTGTGTGTGTGTGTGTACGTCGTTGTTTGCAGTTAGGCTCGGTGCCGGTGTAAATCACACTGACACTGAGTACCATTTTCAAGGGAATTTAAATTTAGCATATATATGCATTTGTTTATGATTTGTTGGAAATTGAAATCATTTTTTTTCTCGTTTGTTTCTCTTGTTTCAGATTTGACACCAATAAATCAACCAAAGGCGCGTCAAAGCTGCGGCGAGATCTAATTAACACGGAGATAGCAAATTTACGTGATTTATTACCGTTGCCACAGTCGACAAGGCAACGTCTGTCACAGCTGCAACTGATGGCACTGGTCTGTGTCTACGTGCGAAAAGCCAATTACTTCCAACAAGGTACGTTTTATTTACACGAAATCGAAAATCGAAAATGTGTATGCGAAGTGAATCGCATTCATTCGATAGCAATATTTTTCGATACACCGTTTTTTTTAGTTCGAACACACCGTTTGTATATCAGCATTCCATCTTTTGTTCCATTAAACTGAAAATTATGAACACGAACCCTGGCTATTGGTGTTGCAGTTTTCGTTCCACCGAAATGAACGTAATTAGAAATGCAACACTTTAGATAAGCATTTTACGCCCATTTTGCTCTAATTTATCTCTTATTTATCAGACGAACCACATCATTGTGTGTGTGCTGTGCTCGCTCTCTTCACTTTTGCCATCGCATTTTTTTGCTTCGCTCTCTCCTTCGCGCATTTTCATTTTCACACTTCGATTTTGGGTTCCGTTGACTGTTTGCCGTTCGCATTATCTCAAATGTCTATTAAAATAATTTTTACACATCTAATTGTATCGATATTGGTTCAAAGGCTCGCACACAGTAAATGCAACTCATCCACGACGAAATGACCCGAACCGAGCGAACGCTAATAAACGAATAGTAAAATGAAGAGAAACAAAAAAAAACGGCAAAACGGTTTGCACGCGAAAGCAGTGCAATAATTTACTTCTATCAATATCTCCTGAGTATTTACTTTTGCAGCGCAAGCAATTGACGGTGTGTGTGTGTGTGTGCGAGCGTACGGTGAGAGTTAGCAAATATGCGCGCTTTTAGTTCAGTGCCAAATGTTAAGGAGCACACGAATCCATTGTACCGACACAATAATCGAACACTCGTTCGTCTCTAATCGGCCCAATCCATCTTCATTTGACTATGAAACGCGAGAATAACGCGTCTCAGCGCAAATGAAGCAAAAGCAAAGGAAAAAACAACACAAGGGAAAAAAGCAGCACCGAGCGCATTACATAAATGCATGCTTATTATTATTCTTGTAATCGGACAAGCATTTTGCGCGCGCGTACATCTCGTTCATTTTATTTTGGTTCGGCACACACAGGAATTAAACGGTTATTGCTTATGGATGTGAATCGAAATAATAAGCAGCAACACGTTTGCGAGAGACAGAGAGCGAGTCAGAGAGGGATAGAGAGAGAAAAAAAGAAAGAAACCAAATGTTTGTAACCTGATTGCACTAATTGTTTAAAAACGGATCGAGTACTTTCCATTAGCACAAAGTGGTTAAAATTCGCACGTGTGTTTTTTCTTCTGCATCAGCAGACATGATGCGCTCCGACTCTGTTACTGCTATTATCGCGTATCATTTAAATTGAACCGCATTTTTTTCCACATGCGAAGTGATAAAAGAAAATAAAACGAGACGGTTTTTTCTCTGCTCCCTCTTCCTCACTCTCTCTAGCACTCTCTCTCAGCCACAAGTGAGATTTCATTGAATTGAATAGTGTTTTTATTGCAACGCATTCAAAACGGCAACAACCATAAACAAGCAAAGCATGGCGGGATGCGTGTTACTCATAAGCGCGCAACAAAAATAAACAGTATACCAAGCAGCCAATGTGCACTTGGAACGAGCAATTGTGAAAATCGCGATCGATCTCTGTGTGTGGTTTGTTAAAGGAGTCGAAGAAAAATAACGTGGCTAGCAAATAACCGAGTTATCCGAGCAATTAGATATTATTGTAGTCGGTATTACGAGTATTTATTTGGTGAAATTAGAAGAGAGTTCAAACCATAGATCATGCAATGGTTAGACACTACTATACACAGCTCTGCACAACCGCTGCATTATTGCCCAGGAAGTTAATATAAATGTATTATCGCTCGTTGCCTCGATAAACATTTCGCACGGACCGATAATTTGTATTCATTGCACCATTGAATAGACGCTTTCGATAGACGCTTAACCCTTCGTCGTACACAGCACATTGTCAGCATTAATTTGTGTGAAAACAAATCTTCAACCGAAAATTTATTTTCTTTTAAGTTACATAGTGTTTTTGCTCTGTGTTTCGATTAAATGTACATAAAAAAATTTGAACAACAAGGAAGAATCACCCAAAGAGAGGTGTTTGGATGGAGACGAACCATTGAACGTCTGAAATCCAACTAATGGTGTGTTACGTATTGCTCGTTATTTTTTGTCTGCCACTCTCTTTCTCCTGAACGCATTCAATTTGTTGGTGTGAATGAAAGGGCTAGATAAAAACCGATCGTCTTACCGACACAGTATCAATGGAAAAAGCGACGAATTTCACAACGATTGGCACAGTCAAGCAAATTATTCGATATCTCATATTGCATAAGAAGTCAAATAATACCGATAACATTTACGGAAATCAATTTATGTTCACTAATTATCACTTTAATCAGTTTAATGCTTTGAATTCTTTGGCAAAGCTCCTTTCACAGCTTTGACACCATTTTTCAAATACTTGAAACTTGATTTGGTTTCAGTTCAATCAGTTTTATTCTCTGGAGTTTATTTTTCATTCGACGTCAAGATTTTTTTCATTTGAATGGAAAAATGGTATCATTTACGATTTTTCTCGATCATTTAACATTCGAAAATTGAATTGATTGATTTAGCTCCAACAGCAAATCAATAATGTTTCAAGCCAATCATCGATCTCGAACAAAAACAAAATTCGATTTGTAATTTAAATTCCACGAAAATATCAAGCTCAGCTTTCTTCATTCGGCAAACATTCCATTCTCGTTTCGATAGTTCACCATAGTGGAACCCAACCACAGCAATGTGCCGGCATTGAAAGAATTCACCTGAAGCTGAAAGCCGATGTGAAAAAAGACCCAACACAATCGAACCAAATACACAAAAGAATCAATTAAATTGTGAACGAAATACGCGCGCACACAGAAAAACAAATGGTTCAAACGAAACAGAATTCCTTTTTGTCTGCGATCGCATTAAAACGATCTAAACGAATTAATTGTAGGAAATGAAAATCAGTGGAGATGAGCATCAGCCGAGCGCTGGAGTAGTTGAGCGCAGAAAATAGCGAGAGTCGAAAAAAAAAGAAGAAGAAGACAGCTCAATGTAGATTAGATGAGATTTGTGTGTGAGTGGAATCGAAAGAGCACGTAAAATAGTACAGAGTCATCATTATCAATTAATCGAACACACCCATTTGCATCGATCGAAAGCACAACGGAATAAGAGTTTTGGCCCCACAAATCATCCACACAGAGAGTTTATCTAATCGCATTACCTACACTTGATCGTTTATTAGAGATTGAACAAAAAACGAACCATTTTTCGTTGTTATTCGAACGATTTAACGCATTTCCCCTGCTGCTCATTGATTCCGTTGAAAAACGCTCATTCTCTCACTTCACTCCGCGCTGCAATGTGGTCGACATAATTGTAAGTGATTCAAGCTTAAGACAAGATAAACACATAATTTCCATGTTACGTTGTTATTTTCGATCGTTCTCGCTCTCTTCAACTTCAATTGAGAAGAAACGGTTCTAAACGGGAATTAAATGGAGAAAAAAAATGAAACAAAACGAAGAGGAGTCGAGAGAAGAAAGAAAAAACTTGACAAATTTATGCGTGTAATCGAAATTGCCATGTGTAAAACGCTCAATGTTATTATTATGTAAAGTAAATTAATAATTTGTTGCTGTGGCTGAACAAGTTCATGCCATTGTTACAGAAAACTGTGATGGGGGTTCGCACATTCCACACGCGGTATGACTTGGCAATTTTCATCATACAGATCTATCATCATTCAATTAGATTAGATTTTTTTTTTATTCATAAAATATTCTTATTTTTTTCCCTTTTATTTCAGTGTTCAAACGATATGAGCTAACAATGCACCATGTGCCAACGCCAAATATAGGATTTTCCAAAGTAAGTAAAACGAAACAAGTGCATCATCACTGAAATTTATTGACGATGTTTTGGTTATTGCTTAAAATATTTCGCAAAGCCATGAATTAATGAGAACTTTTATCCACGCAATCATCCGAAAAGAATTACTCTAACTCGAAGAATCGAAGCCTTGAATGGTTCTCATCCGAAAAAAAATGTGTTATGAAACTTTGCCTGAGCATTTTTTCTTCTGCTAATCTTTGCGCTAGATTCGAAGTAACCGAATTCGTTTTGGTTTATGAAATAAGCCTTATGGATCAAATGTAATGTACGCAACACAGTATTTTTACCGTGAAACTGTGCCGTAAACAGCGATCATTTGACGTGTGTCTCATCATAATCAAAGCATATAGAAACGATGAATTTGAACGATGTGGACCGCTTCGAAGCAATCGGTGTGTGTGTGTGTCGTGGATAATGATTGATTTGCATGCAGAACATCGTTTCAAGCATTATAATTCCTCTCCACCTCCTACGAATTAAGCTCTAAATGTGGACGAGAAACAAAAAATAGCAACAAAGAAAATAGAGGGAAAAAAACCACAACAAACCAACTCTTGTGAACGAAACGGTATTCAAAGGTAATTTATAGCACATTACATATAAAACGGGCTAGAATAAGGAAGAAAAAAAAGCACACACACGAATGATCCAATGAATGAGGAAAGAGGTAAAAGAAACCTTCAGAGCCATACACACTCACTTTGAATTGGTATACATATTGTGATGCCATTTTTTGTGTCTGTGTGTGAGACACAGAGAGAGTATCAATAGTGCGCACACTTATAACTTTAATTACGTTTAATGGCAATTCAAAAAGTTTGAATTAGATTCTCTGTGTGGTTTGTTCGGCTCAATTCATTTACATGGTACTTACATTGTATCTATGCATCGATGAATGCGCTGAGAGTGTTTAGCGTGTGGTCTAATTCGAGCAACAAAGCAAAGAAAATCGAAATTGTGATGAATCAAATTAGAAGAAAAAATACAAAGCGATTAGCATTGTCGAACGCAGAATGTACGTGAAAAGAAGGGAAAAAAAGAAAAGCGATCAGTGTTTGCCAGAGTAGCTTCGAGCAAAAATGAATTTGAGCCTACGTTTGACTCCTCGTATTATGTTTGAATGATCCAAATGAAAGTCATTAACCTAAAAAAATTTCCTCACAAGCTCGAATGGCATCGCGTTTATGACTTTAGGCACTACCAAAACTGCATCGATTCGATCAAAATATCATTTGCTTACGTTGTGCCGGTGTTACCAAATTGAGGATATTCAAATAGATTGTTCCGCATTGAGTCGGGTGAAATATTAACATTTGAGCTGTAGAACCGCTCGGCGCCTCTTTCGAACATTATGGTTTTGTGTATCGACCGAAAAATTGCCATATTCTTCCTTTATGAATAACCGTAATTATGACATATTTTCATAAAGCAACTTTCAATTAATGCTCTTCGCCTCGATCCGGACCACATACTCCACGATTTGATTTGCATTTTTGGTCAGACATTAGCGCATTTGTTCGCAATGTTTACAAGAGAAACAGTCAACGAATAATGGCTCTTTGTGCGTATAACAACATCTTTACAAACGATCACAAAACAACCGTTTCGAATGCAATCATTAACCAAATTTGGTAATTGAATGACGCTCATTGTATGAACTCATGGAATTGTTGCGCCGTTCAACGATGATTTATATCGCAACGACGAAATTGACTATGTCCTTATAAGCATAGAAACGACAACATTGTCTGAACCACGCTCAACATTTGAATTGCATCAATTGTGTACGGTTTGTTACTCATTCAATTGGCGATTCTATCGCGGTGCGCATTTGGAAAACAATGCCACTGACTCAGTGAATTGAGTTAATCATTTTCGTAGGAATTTTCATCGATTTCACAACAACTCTTTCAGAAGAAAACGAAAATCACACGAAAGTGTGTTGTCATCCTCTAAGCAAATGGAAAAATTTGTCAAATTGACAACGAAATTCGAATGACAGCCACGATTTTGAAGTGTTTGATATATGTGCGCAGATAAGCAAAAGAAAAAACTAACTGCGGAATGTGTTTGTTGTCAATGTAGCAAATGAAATCGAAATCCAATTAGCCTATGACGCGGCAAACACCTTAACTATTTTTCCCTCTCTGCAAAATTTCTTGCAAAAGCATCCGTGCAACAGATTCATTTCGAAATGAACCATTACCACGCCGCAGACGAAAATCATGCGAAAATCAAGCGAGGAAGTTATTGGGTGCTCTTACATGCAACGAATATCCTTTTAATTTTCATCATAGCACCAAAACCAATCATTATTATTGGCCTATTTCTTATCGGTTACGTTGTATCAGAGCACAGAAAAAAAAATGCATGAAAAACACTTTCGACTCGGTTTAACCGGCGAACGAAGTGCAACGAATACGCATGAACTTGAACATTCATATCGAGTGCAACAGACAGCAATTTAAATCAGAATAAAAAAAAACAGCGAAAACAACAACAACAACGGGCAAGTTCAAGCCGTGTATTGTAAAGCAGCTTACAGAATGCGCATTAGCTGATTTTAAAATTGTTGAACGGATCGGTATGTGAGCTGCAGCGCGCTCATCTACACTATAAATTTGAATTAGATTCAATGAAATTGACCCAATAATAACAATAATAATCACAATAATAACACGCACGCGATCCAACATTCGCAAAATGTTCTCACGCCTCTTAATATACGTCGATTGTGAAACAAAATCGACACTAACACCATCGCAGGCCCGCGCACCGCACATACAAAAGCGGAACGCAAAAGAGACAGCTCCAATTCTTTGCTGCACACACACACACACACACATTTTCCGTTGCACATTTACTTCTTAGAGGTTTTTTCGAGGTTTGCTGCACTCTGAAAAAAATCTCGGGCGCAGCAGCGCATGTGAATGTAACGAAAGCGTTTGGTCTTGGTCGTTTATCGTGTTTTTTTTTCTTCGGCTTGTGTGTAGCTGAGGTTAGGCTTTATTGAGCGAGCATAAGCGCATCTCATTCCGTCCCATGTGCTAAACTACTACCAATCGACTTTATTATCAGGCTCTCAGTTTGCGCTGCGTTTTTTTTTCTCTTGTTAATTTGAACGTTTCGTTTCCAGCCATTTCGGTCTATAATGATATAGCATCAGCCGGTAATCTGGCCTTATATTCCAGTGAAAACAAAGCCAGTAATAAGAAGTAAGGAGGAGAAAAAAGGCAGCAAATATTGTTTATAACATTTTTTTTATGTGCACTTTGAATGTGTGTTCCGTGTGCGCATAATGCCCGAAAACAAACGCATGGTGATGATCGATCTGTATTGCAAATGCAGCTGAATACAGAGAAAGAGAGCGAAGAAAAAAAGTCGACACAACGCAACAATCGACAAACCACAAGTTAATTCACCGTGCGTTCTTGTGAAATCGGCTGCTTTCAGGCAATTTACAATTATGCAAAAATTTCAAATATGCACAGTCGGGCACACATACACACACATCTATCGAACACTTGATCATTGAATTGTGTAACTTGAAACGCGTGTGTGTACTATATTCCATATGATCGGCAGATTCCCAATGTCAATCATCATAATCGAAAAAATATTTTATCTTTCTTCTTTCCGAAAATACTGAAGCGAGCATTTTTACCTGGGCATCAACCACTACCGGTTTGCCATGCTCATTAAAATCCGACAATTCGAATTATTTAAATAAATACGAGACACACACACACACAGAGAGAGAGAGAAAAAACCAATCGATTACTTTCGATAAATGTTTATTCAAAAAATTGAGCGAAAATGAAAATAAACTTTAATGCGATTGACATGCAAATCTCTCGTACAGCCAAAACAAATATCTCGTCGCGTCATTTTCATCTTTCGCAATTATCACAATTATATGGCGACTGTTTTTTCTCTTTTGCTCGGCTTGTTTAAATTGAAACAATTTCTTTGTTGTTGTTTTCGGCTCGGCGTGGAATTATTTTGGCCAAATGTTGTGTCCATAATTCGATCACTTCAAATGAATACATTGTTTCATGTGAAACTTTCGACAACTCCAAAAACTTCAACTGTTTTTGCTCAACGTCATGACGTGACCAAATGAAACTTGAACAAAGAGGTGAGTGAGAGAGAGAATGGGAGCCTTACGCGCAAAGAATTAAGCATTTATGTGTCGACAAGGCTTTGATTCAGTTTGACGTTTCATTCAGCGGGAAAAGGTTTAGCCGATTTTCGGCTTTGGCCGAAACAATCACGTCGGTGATGCTGGGCCAATGTGAAATCTGTTGCGTGGAAAATTTCTCACACGGCTTATTGATCGGAATCGTTGTTGTCACCCTGAATGTTTTCCGACGGCATTTCATATTCCTTTTTTTCGTTTTTATTCACCCATTCACATAGGCAATGTCTGGATTTTTAATGATGTTAACACAAAACGGAAAATTACTTTATATCTCGGATAATGCAGCCGAATATTTAGGCCATTCAATGGTAAGTACTTAGCAATTTATATATGTCTTTTTGAATTCTCATGTTCATCGTAATCCTCGACGTCGTCATCGTTGTCGCTGCTGATGATGATAAGGTGCGAAACTATCGATCGCATCTCATTCTCTCGAACATCACTAAATAAATCAGTATCTGTTTAATAACGCATAAATTAACATTAAATAGAGAGTGTATGAAACGACCACTCAAAATGATTTATGCTCTTGAAAATCGCCAGTAGGCATATTTTTGCCGATTGTCAAACTCTGTCGGAGCTCCATCGAAATGTTCTATCTCGTTGAAATTCGAACGGAGTTTCTATTTCTCATTTCGAGGTGTTTCTTTTTGCGTAATAAAAAATGTGCATTTTGTTGAGTTAAACGCAAGCTAATCGTCTTTGGCAAAACTAAATCAATGATTGCGTTTATTATTATTGCACAAAAACCGCACCATTTTCATCTATGAGATCGAAGTGGAGTTATGATTTGGTACGCTCACTTCATTGCAAGGAATTTCGCGAATAAATCAAACTAATATTGAACCGAATATCAGCTAATGTATCGATTTTAATTTGGTTAGTATACTTTCAATAAGCAATTCATATTTCTACACGTACGGCGGAACACGATTTAGAAATCTCGAAATGATATCTCTCGCAATGAACTTCTCATCATCGCGGCTCTCGGCTTCAAGGCGAATGAATGCACACACACACACTGTTTTTTTTACTTCTTTTTCTCAATCACACGTGAGTAATAAATAAATAAACATCGATTTAGATAGGTTTGTACGATATCGCAAGCGCTAATTATGATTTATTTCACATCGTTATATCGTCGTGGTTAAAGACATAGTGATTCGGGCGTTTTACAATTTAGCTCTTGATTAATGAAATCGAGTGCACAGCATTTCGTTTCGGAAAATTGGTGGCGCTGAAAAGCCAAGTTGTTTGGTGTGAAATATTGATATTGTACGCAGCCGCGATCGAATCGATAAGAGTGAAAATCTTAATTTCTGTTGCTAAAAAAACACACAGTCCGCGGCTACTTTCGACCGCATAAATTGAGAAGTCAGACGTTTTAAAAGTAATCTCATCGCAATACAATTGAATCGAGTGCATCCACACGGTGTGTTGTTCACTTTGTATTCCATTCGGAGGTCGAACCGCAAGAGATGTGAATGAGACGGTACAAAATAAGCATTACCACACTTTTCGATTTGTAATACAATGTTCGTTCGATATTAAGTTCAATTACACGCCTATCGATTCAATTAATATCAATAAATCGTTTAATCTCTCCACTTTGAGACTGATCGTTCGATGCTTGTTGCTTTTTTATTCGTTTCTTTCTCGTTCTCAGCGAAACTATACGCACCGTAATTTATGATTGACATGAGAACTTCGAAGTCGTTCTCTTATTTTCATACACTTTTTTTCATTTTGGTTTTTTCGTTTTTTCTCGTTTTATTTTTCTCTCCTCAACGTTCAACAGGAGGATCTGTTGATTCATGGTGATTCAGTGTATGATATTATCGACAAACAAGATCACGGGTCAATTCAAGCCGAACTAAGTCGCAGTGTACCGCAACAGACAAGCAGTTCAGGATCTCATCATCATCATCATCATCATCACCACAGTTCGCCGTTAAATGCCAGCACCGCGTTGGACGGTGAACACCGAATGTTCCTGTGTCGAATGAATGTTAGCCGAAATGCACGGCGTCAAATGCGTTTTGGCGATCAAAAGGTAAGGCTAACGACAAAACGAATAACAAATCATAGGCCACCCGCACCGTTCATCGGTGTTTCTCCTTCGGAATCGAAGTGTAAAAAGCAACAAAACAAACATAACCGAAAAAAATCCAGTGTTTGTCAATGCAAATTGATCTGATAGTCGTTTAAAAAGTTTTTGGCATGTGTTTACTCGATCGTCATCAGCATTCATTCTCATTGAGTCGATGCTCAAGCGACTTCTGTCCGATGTACAATCAGAACAAAAAAAAAGAAGGAGAAAAAAATAACAACACTCAATTCAATCCGTTTTAAATTTGTATTGACTCCCATTGTCCGTTTGAAAACACACACACACATACCGAAGGAACATCGTCCATGGACAACGAGATATTGTGTTACTGTTTTGATCTTGATTCGTTTTTATTTTCCTTACTCTCTTCCGTCCAATTCGATTGCATTTGAAGAGAAACTGAAGAAGAGAAGGAAAAAAGAAACCTATGAGTCATCTCATCTGTGTAAGATGGTAAAGGCAAAGGACCACATGCGTAAACGTAGTAATTATGAACACACGAAGTTTGCCATCGGCCAAAACAGTTATATAAATATAAACGACGACACACGTTTGCATTTGAAATGAGTGCTGTGCAGCGAGCGAGCGAAAACAAAGCGCGATTGAGAGAGAGAGAGAGAGAGAGCGACGTGCGGGTGCGCGCACACTCGGCGAACGCGCGTACAGACAGAGTGACGGTCTGTGTGCAGATCGTGTGTTAAGTCACCGATTGGCTGGGCTCGTTCGCAAAATTGAATCGAACAACATTTTCTTTAATTAACATTAAATTCTTCTACCTCTCGGGTAGCATTCGGCTGCCAATGTCGTCTCTCTCTTACTCCCGCTCTTTCTGTCTTTCTCTATCTCACAACTGGTGCACTAACGTAAACACACAATGTCATTTTGTTCGGTTAGCTTATCTGTCGTTGGGTTTTCATTCGTAAAAATGTGTGTTTCACTGCACTGCATTGCACATAGAATTCGACATGAGATGTGATTCTATGGCGAATAAGGCACATATGTACGAAACAAAAATCGACACTGATGCAATTTTATTTCATTTCGGAACGAAAACAAGTATCAAGATCAGATAAGCTACGCTTGAAATTCTTGCATTTGGAGCGTAAATCGCGAGTCAGTTCCCTCGAGAATCAAACCAGAAAAAATAGTCGCTTTTTTCGTCGAAGCACACACACACACACACACACAAGTTAATAAATTCAAATCGTCGTTTTTCCTCTTTGACAAAACAGCAATCAAAATGAATGAACAAATCGAACAATCTAACGCTGAATGGCTCTGATGTTTCAACCGAAAGAGTGAGAGAGACAAAAAGAGAGCGTGCGCTAGTGTGAACGGCATTTAGCTTTTTCGGTTTATCAATACAATGTGTGTCGCAATCCTGTCGCTTTTATTTATTTGTTTTTCACAGTTTTCAAGCGTGAATGCGACGAAAAAACAAATTCTAAATTCATGAATCGCTTTTGCAAAAGCGACCGATTGAAAATTCAATTTACACACAGTATGATTCAGCATTACAAAACTGAACATAATAATATTATATCATTTGTTACAGCGTTTGAACATTTTTCGTAAAAAATAATGTGTTTTGTTTTTCTTTCGTTTCGCTCGAAAAAAAAAATCGATTGCAGGTGGTTTTAATTCAAGGACATTACCTATCATATTTGCCGTTGTGCAGTCGCAACGAACCAGTATTTCTGGCAACATGCACACCGATCGCAATGCCCGAGACACGCGAATGCATTGTGCAGGGTGCAACCAATGTATTCACCACAATTCATTCAATGGACATGAAAATTATGCACATGGACAAAAAGTAAGTAAATCTGTGTGCTTCTTGCCGATCGTTTTGCTCAATGCACTTGGAACACGTACACATTAATTAAAATGTTAGAAGTCAATTAATGTGCACTGTGGATGAGGAATTTTGTGTGTAAATGCTGTTAGTTTTCTTAACGCAATCAATCAGCCGTTAATCGGAGATTTTGTTTTTGGTTTTTGTTTCAACTACAAACCAACATAAGAAACGTCATTTTCCTCTCATTCACTGCCGAATCGAATGAATTGCTTTGAATTTTCAGCTGACTTGATTGCTTAATAAAATCTCAGTATTTTATAATTACGTTTTGTTATTGCATTATAATGGTGGCTTTTGTGTTATTTCAAAGTCAATTGAATAAATTATTTTGCATTCTTTTTCCATTTTATCTTCGAAGTGGTGAATTTCACATGGGCTATACGAGAAATGAGCTGCAAGGCGTTTCATGGTATCACCTATTGCATTGGGACAGTATGCGAGAAGCACAAAATAAACATCGACTAAGTAAGTGTCGTTTTATTACTGTGCATAGTAAAAAAATCGCCGAACCGTCGAAATGAATGTCAATTTTATTGGCTTCTTAAAGAAGTTTTATGCTGATGACTTTTCAATGTTCCATGCATAATTCGCGGCCATTTAATTTATTAATCTGTTTATGTTTTATGTCTCGTCTTTTTTTTCTATGTATGTTTTGACTCATGTGTCTGCCTGAACCATCATCACACAGTTACTCAATCGGAACAAGATCGATCGTGTATTCTGTTGGTGCAAATGCAACGGCGTTCGGGTACATTTGTCTGGGCGCATGTTGTGCTGCAGGTTCGCGATAGTCAAGATAATAGTCAACAGCCGGTTATTGTCTGCACAAATCAAGTGCTAAGGTGAGTGTTGAATGTTTAAACCATAATGTGCGGTGTGCGCACTTTTTTTCGCGTTTATTCCGTCCATTGGAGAAAAGTAAAACAAACAAATAGCTCCGTTGTTTAATGCGAAATGATTTATTTTTATGCGCATAAAAAAAGAGCACTAAAATAAATCAAAGAACAGCTCCATTGAAACAAAGGAGAAAAAGGGTGAGAGATGAAGCAAAAGCGGTACACCACGTCATTCGCGGTGCATTTTATGAACACTGGATAATTTATGGCATCGACAGACTGTTTTATAGTTATGATCATAACAATAAATATGAATTGCATAACGACAGCATAATCATTATCAATCTTAATTTTCCGAACCACAAGATTATGCAGCCCAGCCACATTCAAAACGGCAATAATCTCAAATAAGACATTGATAAATTCGATGCAAACGACGGTATACACATACACACCACAACGAAAAAAAAACGAATCAAAATCGGCTAATCACAGCTAACCCATGTTGAATCGAATGCAAATATCACATGGCAGAAAAACAAACAGAACGAGATCGAGCGCGACATGCGCGCACACAAAAATGCGCCAGATGAAATGGATGATAAACGCAACATTATCATTAAATTGTTCAGATATTCGTAAATCAAACTGAATATTTTTCGTTGGCGAAATTGTGCGCGCCCATCAATAATAATAATAAGGTATGCGACATATGAATGCAACGTGGCTGGCGGTCGCGCGCATTGAACATTAGAAAAAGACAGTCTGTGGGAACCAAAATCATCGGCAACACACGCAATTCCATGCATTTTTTGCAACGCACTCGAATTTTCGTTATCTGTGTCAAATCGGCGAACGCCAAAACAGAACATAAATTACGGATTTAGATGGGAGTGCAGGAGTGTGGCCAGAGTTCCGAATTCTTCGAAACAACTCGAAGCTTTGATCATCTCTCTCAATGGCACTGATTTATGATTAGAAAACAAGTTTGGGAATTTATGCGATGCACGTGATTTCTAAATAGATTTCTTCTTCTTTTTTTCTCTCTCTTATTCGATTTGTGTAGTGATAGCGAGGCGTCGGTGATGTATGCGAATTCATGGCTTTATCATTACTATACGGTTCAATCGAAAATTCAATTTGGAATCCCATACGAAGGACCGGCTCGTGTGCAGGCCAATAACGATACGTATTTGCAGCAGCAACAACAAGAACAGCAGCAACTGCCCGAGCAAAATGACTTGCACGATCACAACAACCACTCGCACCACCACCATCATCATCATCACAGTTTCCATCATTATTCACCGAATTCGCTGCAAACGCCGTTGACACATTCCTATTTGACTCATTCACATCACATGCCGTCGTATGGTTATCATTCGCCAGTGGCACAGCATCAAAGCTCACCAGGTCTGGTGAATCACTATGGAAACAGTACACCTCATTTAAGCTACCATGGATCAAACGATGGCTATCGCCCGTACGCTTATCGCATTGACCCAATTCTACCGGTTGACTATAGCGGCCACGTTGGCCCAATGACAACCAACCACAATAGAAACTCCAGCAGCGGGAGTGTTAAATCAACGAACCAATCGAATTCCGATTCCGGATCACCGCCGGCCAAACGAAGAGCCGTAAATCGATTGGAACCGTTGTTCATTCCAGAACATCAACAAGAAACATCGTCCGATGAAACTTTGCACTCCGAACCAGTTTATCAGACGACCACAAGTGATGGTGGCACCGTTTTATTGACCACAGTCGTGCCCGGCCGCTATTCACACACTCACATCAAAGCGATTTCGAATGAGCCAACCGATCTGATCGATCAGTGGAACCCATCACCACCATGGTCGGAAACAACACAAAAAGTACCCGATATTGCACAGCAAGAACTGTGCTATTTATCACGCACTCCGCCAACACCGACAAGTGCACCGCTTACCTCATCCAACGGTGTTGCATTCTCATTCGACTGGATGCCCGAACAATTCGTTCCAATCGTCGATACAACGCACCACAACAACAATAACAATAATCACACCGTTCCCAATGGCATGACGCACATGGGCGCAATGCTAATGTCTGCAGCTACGCTATCCACGTCACCAAACGAACATAAATTTTACAATTTGGATCGATCTCCCGATAACGACATTGGTAAGCATTTTTTTTATCCATTTTCTAGAACATACTGCACCGGCATTAGAATCGACTTTCATAGCAACACATTTTCGTATGCAAATTTTTGTTTCAGAAATTCATGAAGACCGTCACTCGCGCTAATAAACACATACATTGATTTCATTTCACTGGTTGAAATCGACACTTTTTACGGCGAAAACTTTTTATCCAATCCACGTGGCTGGTTCGTGCAATCGTTCATTACGCGTCCTCATTATCGCATTTTCGTGATCAACGTTTACTTTTTACTAGCGCTCGAAGAGAAAACTCCGTTTTTATTCTTTTTTTTGTAATAATTCGCAAATAAAAACAAAGTTTTTATAAGGAATGCATGCAATTTTCACACTTGAAAAGTATTAAATTAGACAATTAACTTATTTCCTCTATGAAGGTCATCAAATGACGACTCGAAGTACTTTTTCGAGTAATTTCTATTTTTTTAATGGATAACTCCAAAAAAAACCACAAATGTCTTATTTATTTCTATTGTATAGCAACCTCAAATCGAATTATACTTCAATGTCGAATGCTTAGTGTATAATCGCATGTTTAAGGAATTTTGTACATTTTGATACACATTGAACCGAGTGGAACGAGGCTTTACAAACTATTTATAACACTTAAGTTTCATACAATTTTTTTTTATATGCGAGGCATTTCTCAAGCAAATCCTCAAGAGAGTGAGTTGAAAAATAAAAGTATTTCTAGATTACGTAAGTCCTATACTCTTCCTCAGATATAGATAAATTTTAGCGTGTAACTTCCTATTTATCAATTCGAATGGCATTACTGTAACTTAGAACCAATTTGTAACTGATCGAGAAAAATGGACATTGTCCGAAACAATCTCGAGTGAAAAATAAGCAATAAAATCAGAACTATTTGTAAAGAAAAAACAAGCAAAATACTCTTTTTGATTCTATTTTCTTCTGAATTTTTACTTTTTTCCTTTTTTTTGTTTTGTTTCCACTGCGGAAGAAATAATTTTGGTGGAAAATAGCATTTATCACGAAAAAAGGCCAAAACTTGCATTGGAAATAGCAAGTTGACCTTTTATCAGAGATGCAGAAGCCTCGAGTGAAAACGTAAGTAACATTTATCAACTATCGTAAGTACTTTTCAACGTCTTATTGACTATTTAATTCGATAGACAAAAATATGGGAAGCTCATTTTGGCTATGATGATCGATTCGATCAAAACTCTGTCAAAGTTATTGTTAGTTTCACATGATCTTATCCGATGTATTTTCGGTATGTTTCAATGCATCAAACTGAAGATTTTCTACTAAAGGTATCTACTGAAGATTTTGAATGGATTCTCGATGTGAATGCATATTGTGCGGTGCATCACTGGTACGACAAAGAGTCAAGTGGAGAGTTGTTTAATAGCATCGGCGTGTAACAACATGATGGCATGCTGCGTTAAATACCTCACACACACACACACACACATACACTTATTTATGATATTTACTGTATAATGTATTTTCGTGTCAGTTGGCGATTGAGTACGTGCGAATTGGCTATTTATCGGCGAGAGACAATAAAATCGTTTAAGACTCTTGTTAACACTGCCATGGTATCTTCTCCATATTTTTTGTTGAATCGTTTATATTTTCGACAGTTTTCAAATGGAATAACAAAAAAATTTACCTTTGGCACGTATCTCTCTCTCTCTCTCTCATTTCCCTTTTATTTTATCACACTTTTCCATCGCATCGTGTGTTGCATCGCTTTCGTTTGAATGCAATTTTTTCCATTTCGCGAGAAGAAGTAACGAGAAAAAACACACGAAGATTGAAAGTACAACGGACAACCAATTAAGTGGATACAATTGCATTTTATTAGTTGAAAGTATCAGAGAATCATTTGAAATGAGACAGCTGCCTGTCAGCACGTTGAACGCACATCGCACACTGTCCAACTGAATGTGTGTCAATTTTTGAAGTATTTTGAAAATTGCGGCAACCGTGATTCATTCATTTATTATAATTTGCGAGTCAAAGCCCTTCATCGTTGGCAGGCCGTAACAGCAGCAGCAGCTGTGGTGCAGCATTGAACTCTATGTCACTGAAAGCCAAAAATGGCATGGAATCAAAATATATATTTATATATTTTCTCATCATTGTAGCTATTTTGCCAATTGGCTTTGAGCCGTTTTGTAAACTTGCCCGTGGAGATTAGCAAGAAATGAACAGAAAAAAAGAGAAACAAGCCGATAGAAGAGAGAAGAGAAAAAAAGCCAAATGTCGATGTTATTTATATTGATGTCATTAATACATGCTGCAAATGTTCCACCGTGTACAATGCTAATAATAATCAATTGAATGTGTACAATATGCGGTGCGCACAACGCGATCACATGGCATACAAGCCGTCCGTATGGTAATGAGCTGAAAATCATGAATGTTTGAACGAAGGAAAAAAAAATAAATAATACAAACCATATTTATTCAAGAATATTGTAAATTTATGCGCGCAAAGTGCAAAAGGCTGTACGTTCCCGGTTGTTGCTGTTGCTGTTTTTTATTTCTATCTTCTCTCCTCTCATACCGTCTAATTTCCAATTAAATAAATTATTTTAACTGCAGCTTAACATCAGCATCGCTGTTTAAGTAATTTTATTTGTTTATATTAATTAATTTTTCATTTCAAAATCGCATTCAGCTTCAACCCGCTTCAACCGGCGGCCAGCTCAAAATGGGCACTTTGAATTTATCATCCGTAAATCAGAATTTATGTATCGACCGATTGGAAATGTTTTATTCAAAATGTGACACAACCGAAAGTCACTGTGCGCGCGTTTCGTGTCATTTCATGTTTTTTTCTCTCTCTTTCTTTCGCTCGATCTCGCTCAATTTATTTTCAAAGCTGTCATGCTTTGTTTTTTCTTCATTTTCGATTTCTCAATTGTTTGCCGTTAAACAACATTCGATCACAATATTGAGTCATACAGTCTATAAATTCTATGCTCGAGGGATATTTCGTATTAATTCGCGATTTGTTTAAATTTGGTCAAAATATTGTGTTTCACTTAAAGTCAATTAACAGGTATGAAAAGGTGATTTAAGGCGGCTGTGTAGGCGTCTAATTAATTTCCACTGTAAAATGGACACTAGCTGTGTGTCAACACCCAGTACACAGAAACGGGCCATTTTTGGTGTCATTTTACAAAAATCGAAGAGAAAAAGAATCCGATTTCCCAAATTCACAACCACATTTGGTAATGAATTTAGCCAAAATGTGTAGAAATCAATGGTGATCACGGTTGCATAAATGCACATTTTGACGTGTGCACAATTTGCATGCTCAATGACTGCCACAACGACTGCGAGTGCAGCAAAAGTGAAAAAAATAAATCACCAAAGTGACATTTCAACCATATCCGTATTGGTATTGTATTGTATTTAAATTGGGTTGAACCAGAGCTGGTTGTAATGCCATAAAAGTAATACAAATGTCGAGATGTAAGTGTCAGCACATTTTATTATGTATGTGGAATTGGCAATTGATTTGATGTTGGATCAATCAAATGATTAATTTTAAACGGTTTGAATCATCAGTTTGGGTGCATTTTTTCCCATTGACAGCTTTTTAAGATCCGTTCATGCATCATCATCGTATGTTGATTCATCTGTTTAATTCAAATCATAGAACAAAAATTGTATAGGAAAAATTGTTTTAGCGTGCTGAAAAAAGCTGCAACGCAAGCAAACTGCGGGCATTTAATTGAATATATTAATATTTGGACGTAGAGAATGCGATTCAAATGAATTATTATAAAATGCCGTCGATACTAATCTCTGTGTATGTATATGGCACAGAGTTATCAATAGCATTGATCAGGGGGAGAATGTAGCGTCGATGGTCTTAATTTCTGCCTGCCTGCGCTTCAAGCTCAAGTTTTGTTTCTAAATATATATATATAGCTTTATGATCACATACACAAATGCGCTTATCAAATTGCTTGCGCGCGCCAATCTCAATCGATGCCCGCTAATGATATGCGGCACACTCATTCTATCGATGTTAATCAATTAATAAACATTATTCTAGTGGTGTTGAATATTTTCATGTAATTTTATCAGCGTTCGATGTAATGGTGTGCGCGTTGAGCCAATACATGAAGCATTGCATAACTGTAGTCGGTGTGACAACAACCGATTGTTGCAGCAGCAGCAGCAGCAGCACCAGCCAGGAAGAGAGCTGTGTGCTTCTCTCATTCTGGTCGCGCACTGTACAGTGTACACCAAGCGCACCGAGTAGATAATGTGTGGCGTATTTTCAAGCCCAATGGCTACAAATAAATTTATGGTTGGTCACATGCCAAAGATGTTATAATTATCATATAAATATACTGTCTGTGTCCTATGTGCAGCACATTTGGCCATTGAACGTATATGAGAGCGGTGCGAACATAAATTTTATACAGCAATGCTCTCGAACTTTATTACATAAAATCCATCTTCGAGGTACCTTGGTCTTATGAATTATTAATGTGATTGCTGTTTGTTTAGCTTTTGAATTTCAGTGCTTGCTCGCACTCAACAACATATATCCCCCCGATTCGGCACTAAATTTTCGTCAAACCTAACGAGATGCGAACGTTATGAGAACTTCCACTGATAAACGCCATCAGCGCTCGATGCCTTTTTTTCCAAATAAATTTTGAAAACTAAATCATAAACTACGAGTCGAATTATTGATAAAGGTTTCATAAGACACCACCAGTAAATCACTGCTGAACCAATGAAGATAAACTCAAATTGCAGTTTCTGTTACGTTTGATTATTATTTCAGTTTTGGATTTTTCGGCTCTAAAAAAAACTAGCATGCAAGCCTCAGCCTAAAGATAACAGACAATTTTTTTCGTATCGCTGTTTTTTTTTCTCTTCGCAAAGGAGAAAACATATCAACTCATATTTCATATTATTAACTAGAATTATTTTGTTTCTTTTTTTCTTCGTTGGTTGCGTTAACCATTTTTCCCAAGCATCGACCGAGAAACAGCACACAGTCATAAATAAAATCGTTTAAATAGACATTGTGGCGCGAGCGCAACAGAAGAAATAAAATATGATTCAAAAGAATATGAAAAGCGCAATTTGATCGACAATTTTGATAGGAAATTTTTCATATTCACCGTGGCGAGAGTGTAGTACTTTGCGCTTGTGCAACGCGCAGAAGGATTGCTGTAAATATGGTTTTAAAGAGACATCATCTGATTAAAAACATAAAACACAAGTCATAAATAATGGCTTATTAATGGAACAAATAGAAGGGAAAAAAATGCGGGGAAAAATATTGCACATCTAATAAAATATCGAAAATGTATCTGCAACTTGGCTAATTATATCGCATTTAGTTAATGTTCTTCTTCATTGGGCAAGTGCGAATGCCAAACCCGGAATCACACTTCATTTTTCATTTTTCATTTTTTTTATTCCCGAAGCATTTGCAATTTACGCTTTTAAGTTTTATTGCCATTCTTGGAATTGTTTTTTAGCACACTTCTCTTCTTCTGCTTGCTGCGCTTACCTTATCGAAACGAAACGGGCAAATTGCGTGTAGCAATCTGATGTCGACTCTAAATGAAACCCAATAAGTAATTTATTAATAGAAAATGTACGGAAAAACAATCGCAAGCAAATCGTTTGCCACAATGAAATTAATTTGTTTTTATCGAATTCAACTGAATTTATTGGCTCAATGTTCGTGTGACTTTTTCACATAGATGCTATTGTTTATGCTATTTTCGAGCGATACGTTTACAGAGGAGAAAAGAAAGGTGGTATGCACTTTAAACGTCCCGTGTTGAGCCTGGTTTGGGGTCAATGTGACTTTTTACAGCCGTTTTTATCTAATGCGGATGTGGTATAAGTTTTCTTTGAATTGACACGCGGCATATACATATCATCAGCAATATCCTGCACTTTAGACGGTAATGCCCTGAAACACATTCATTTCATTTGAATTAGCCAATAATTTTAACACATTAAATTTTCATAGCAAACTTACTGCAAAAATTTCCCAACGAACAAATAGAATCGAGGAACAGTTGCATATCGCGAACCATCTCGAATTGCTTCAACCGTCACTCGTCCAACTTCGACCGGTGTTAGCAGACCAACCCTTTCCAAAGTGGTTGGGCTTCAAGAAAAAATCAGACAAATATTTAGAACGGACACTTTCTTCAAAGTCACAACGTTTTCTTACTCGACAATTCTCTTCACATAATCAATGATTTCCTTTCGTGTACTGCATATGTGTGGGAAGATGGTAAGCGTTTTCACTCCCCATCCTTCGTGCCGTGATTCCTGATTCAATGCATCCATAAAGCCTTTAACCGCATATTTCGATGTCGTATACGTAACGGCCATACTCATTGGATAAAATGCAATCATTGATGAAATACCCACTATGAGCCCGTGACCTCTTGCAATCATATCACCAATGAAAATTCGCGTTGTCTACAATTTCGATCAGACTTGTTGAAAATGTCTTGAATATGAATCAAATCAGAATTTACCCAAAAGTGTGACAAAACATTCACATCCATTACACGGCTAACACTTTTCGGGTCACCATCTCGGAATGAATTCTGTGGCATGAGACCGGCGTTATTGATTAAAATGTCTACGACACCCATATCGGCGTTTATTTCCTCTTTCACCCGTTCTAGTGCTTCATAATCGGTCACTTCAACCTAAGATGTGCATATTTTCATGGTTTAATTACATCATCAACTTATTCGTTTCGATTTCATGATTTTACCAAAAATCACTCACATGATATGGATTCGCCTTTACTCCCATCGCTCTCATTTCAGCGCACAACTTCTCTGCGGCATCTAAATCAAGATCTAAGCATGCAACATTACAGCCGTTACGTGCCAATTCCAAGCAAATTTCACGTCCAATACCATTGGAACCACCAGTTACCTAGGTGATGTCGAATGTTAATGTCATTGAAACTCTACTATTTAGTTTGTGTGACACCTACAGCAGCCAATTGTCCTCGAATGTCTTTTAGCCATCTCGGGAAAATCAAATGGAATAGGGCGAGTAATAGATAGTATAATTCCAGTACAATGACAATCAAAGTTTTCACTATCAAACCAGGCAACAATTTTAGTATCATAATTGCTCTGCGTGATGGGCACAGCACTTCAAGATCATCAGCTCTCTCGTAGCTTTTAGTATGGAATGTGTGTACATCTTCCATGATTTCTGTGACTAAATTCCAAAAAATGTGAATACTTAATTTCACTTTACTTTGCACCTAATTCAGAAAGTGACTTCACTTTTAAATTGATTTCACTTCAACCAGAGAACCTCCAGTGTGAATGGCTGAGATGAAACTGAATGAAATGCTATCACGGAGCTGTTTTTGAATTAAAAAAAAGAATTGTGAATGCAATGAATCTTATCGACCTTAGTCGGCTAATGGTTCTAAGCTAGCATGCTTTTCTAGCTGATAGTCCAATTATCGCATGTCAAAAGGTTGCCGATTATATATCAAGCATAGGCAAATCAGCAAAATAATGACATCAAAGTTTGCCATCTACGAGCATTACGAGAGAGAATTATCATTAGTGTGTTTCTTTGATGGTCTTTTTGTATTTTCACTTCATTCTGAATTATTTGTTTTTTTATGACCACATAGTGATTTACTTGATAGTGTAAAAATAGTGACATTCACCAGTAGTATATTTATAATTTGAAAACTCTTGCGGAAGTTATTTTTAATATGGATTTCGAAGCACAGGAATGTATAGCATTGAAACAGTGTTATCAATTGTTTATAAATTAGTAACAAAAAAGTAATCCAAAATGGGTCAGCGTTCAGCCGTATTGATGACTTAATCAACGGCTTGTGGGATTGAACTAAACAATTTTTTTACTTTTTTCACGATGGGTAAAATATTATGGGATGATAATGGGATGTTATGGGTATCGGCAAAAATGAATCAATTTCAGGCTTTAAAATTTGGTTTGAATGAACACAGTCAGTAAAGTTTAGTTGAGCGAACACCACGCACACGCACAAACTAATCGTAGCGGAAGCTATAAAATGGAAGTTGGCTTGGATCTTAGTGTAAGTTATCATTAAATCTAATTGTATGCAATTGTTAGTGTTATCAAGATCTAATTTAAGAACAAGTTGAAAAAGATAAATTAAACCGGTACACTTTTTCTCGAAATTAAATCTTGCTATATATCACCTAAATTGTATACAATTAAGATTAATGATAATTTACTCCAATAATTTATTCAAACACTTATTATTATTAGAATCAAATTACGAAAAAAACCGAAAATGTTGCAAAAAAAGTGTTTCAGCGGCAGCGACAATGTGTTCGTTGCAGCTGGTAGATTGGACTGACCGATAAGTCACTTTTATACTCTGTCCATAAGTCAACCGAATGTCATCTTAACAAATCAGCAAATATATTTTACAAAATATGTACACATTTTATTTGAAGTGTACTTTTCAAAGGGAATTCTGTGTTAAGTCTGGATTTTGCCAATCAAATCAATAATTAGTGGTGTTCAATGCAATTAAGTTGCTTTGCGAGTAAGAAAAAGCAGGTTGCACTTTGTTGAACATGAACATTTTGCAATACCAAACACCGGCGACTCGGTGCATTTAATAACAATCAGTTGAAAATTGCGCGATTACTGTTGTTATTGCCTGAAGACAATCAGGTTTTGTTGTAAGTGCGCGCGCGCTGCGCATACGCAAAGTCATCACTTAATGCAATACACAGTGCATACACATATCGAAGGGGAAAAAACGGAATAAATGAAAATAATACAAGATTAGCGAAAATTTCAATGTATTCAATTGTCTGTGGCAAAACTATCTTGTAAGAGACAATTACTTCTGATTAAGTAACAAATTGGAATTCAAAGAAAACATCATCAATTCAAACGACTCAATATGTAATTTTTTTCGCTCATTTATTAACAACACAAACAATTTCGAGTGTATTTTAAATACATTTATGGGAACTTCACTTTTATCACGTCAACTTTTTGTAAAATCCACTGTTTGTTCCAACAACAACAACACAAAAAAAACACATACAAACAGCATGTTCATTTGGTGCCGTTATTGTCAATCATGTAATGAGTTGATTTTGGTTTTGGATCATTGATCGCCGGTCCGACGTTTGGCTTGAAATTATCGCGAATCAGATTTTGAAATTCTTCAGGCAAAAGGCTAAAAATACAATGAATTAAGTGTAAATTATGTGCAATAAGTTGTTTAAATAAGCTGCGATTTTGCATTTTAGTCAAGATTTACTTTAGAAATGTGATCATTCGTTTCATGACCGATGGTATGGACACGTATTGTTTGTTCTTCAAAATGCCATCAACAGTTGCGTCCGCGACTTCTTGTGGTGTGTAAAAGGTCAGTTCGGAGGCGGGATTCAGACCGCCATGGGCAATGAATGTTTCAATAAAATCTTTCCTCGTATTTGTCAATGGTGGAAATACGGTTGTCACATTTATTTTGTGATTGTCCAATCGTACCAAATCATAAAGACCATCCATTAGTCCACGAACGCCGAATTTCGTTGAAGAATACGCAATAGCCCGACAGGTTGTCTCTTGTGCCAATATTGATGCAATCGAAACAATGTGGCCACGCTGTCTGGCTATCATACCCGGTAAAAATACTCGAATCGTCTGTCAAACGAAAAATGTTCGGGGACACTTCCTGGTATTTTTGAAAGAAAAAATAAACTTACCCAAAAGTATCCAATCAAATTGACTTTAACAATACGCAAAATATCCTCTGGATTGGCTTGCAATAGCGAAACCCTGGGTAATAGTCCCGCATTGTTGATAAGTATGTCAACATCACCTAAATCAGCCTTGATTTTCTCTTTGAGCGCAACAATTTCCTCATAGTTTGCTACATCGACCTGGAAATGCAACGGAATATCATCCAGTTTATCGATGGAAAGTCCACGACGTGTATCACCTCATATGCGAATGCTTTCACACCCATTAAATGCAACTCCTCCACGGTATCAAGTGCACCTTCAATATCAACATCCGCAATTGCAACATTGCATCCACATTTTGCCATTTCAATGCCAATGGCACGACCAATCCCATTTGCACCGCCAGTTATCTACCAACAGAAATAAATTCAATTTGATTATTAAACTGCACAATGGAGATTTTGATTGAAATTTCGCACCAGAGCCACTTGATTTTGGATATCTTTGGAAAATCGCGGAATTATAAACAAAATCAGCGATTTGATCAGTATGAAAACGCCTAAAACCGTACACTTCACTGTCGCAAACAAAACGAGCAACAAATTTTTTGCGGTACGAAAAATCGATCGCTTCAACGGCTCAGCCGGAATGTATCTGTATTTGCCAAACGAATAAAGATCGTCCATGTCGCACTCGTTTCCAGTCTGACCGAGGTAGTGATTCGATTTGAAGTGACGAGAATTGCATTACGATCAATCGAATCGGTGCGACGTTGAATTCAAAAGCATAGACCAGTTTTCAATTTTATGGAATATATTTCTAAACAAAGTTCAAGTTTACAACTCGAGAATTTTAATTATAGTTGAAACCGAATAAATTACATCGATCTCCTACTTTTTTTCGCACACATACGCACTTAAAACGCACAAACTTATGCATTGCAGACTTGATTGAAATGCATGAATTCAGCAATAAAAAACATTATTCGATACGAAACTGCATAAAAAATATACAGTGGATAAATGGTGTCGTACTAGCTGTGTTAGCAGCTATAAAAAGACTAACTGCAAGTGAAACGATGAAATTGGGATAAAAGTCGACTAATCGATTGATACAGAGGAAGCCTTTGATGATTGTAATTACACTCAATCTAAATGAAACGGTTTTAAATGGCTCGAAATTCATTCAATTCCAGCATTTTAATTCAGAGCGTGTTTTGGGCTGATGTCAGCAGCACTAACTAACGTCAGCTGCTGATATCAGCTGCTGACGAGTATGCATTGTGTTATTTTAACGCATTTGCAGTACAAAATTCGTATTCCTTTCTGGGTGCCAAGTCAAGTTTTATTTCAAATTTGACTTGGCACCCAGAAAGGAATACGAATTTTGTACTGC